GCCTGTGGCCTCCCCCCCCTCCTCCGCTCACAACCCTCTCCCCCCTCTCCTCTCCTGCCCCCGTGTTTCCGTCCTCGATCTCTGAGTTGACAGACGTGCCGTCGCTGCAGTCGCTGACCGAGCCGCGGCCCATTCTCCGGGCCACAGAGCTGAACATACCACCCGGGCTGCGCAGGTCCTCATTAGGGGACAGAACCTCGGAGGGGGTGGACGGAGGGAAGCGGAAGTGGGTGGCTCCCGTGGGGACGGGAGGAGCGCTCTGCGGGACACTGCTCCCTAGAGGAGAGAGAAGAGAAGCACAGGAACATTTCTGAAAACTGAAGATCTCAGCTGTTGCTGCAGCGCGGGCTCCGACCCAGTGATCCACCTACCAGAGGAGCCCATCTCGATGTAGGGGTAGTTGACCAGCACCAGTTTGTTGAAGTTGAACTTGTAGGTGAACCTCTTGCCCTTGGTCTTATGAAGAATCCTCTTGTTGTAGTAGTATCTGGAAGAGAGCGGGAAAAACTGGTTGGAGTTGGAGCAAAACAGAGGGAGTGATGTCACGGTGATGTCACGGTGATGTCACGGTGACATCACTGTGGACGACCTGGACAGAAGTGTGTGCATGTGGAGAGCGCATGACGTCCAAACTGACCACAGCTGGAGCTCTGACCCCCCCTCCCCCTCCAGTGTGTACTTTAAATACTGTAATACTACGGCCTATTTTCTGCCTCCGGTCACATGATCTGAGGACGGGGTCACTCCTCAGATCAAGGTCACTCCTCAGATCAAGGTCACTCCTCACTCCTCAGATCAAATGATCTGAGGACGGGGTCACTCCTCAGATCAAGGTCACTCCTCAGATCAAGGTCACTCCTCCATTTTGGTTCTGCTCTTCTCAAATAGCAGATCATTAAAAATGAATTGACAGATTGGAGCGGTCCACTCAGGTGTGGGATCACTGCTGTTAAAGGCCCTGACTGTGAGACAGGAAGTCAGGATTACAACACTCTCTGTCGTCAGTAGTGACTGCTGAACACACACAGAAGACAAGGTTCTGGTCAGGGTCCGATTGGCCCGGTCTCATGCTCTGTGGGCGTGAATATGTACTGCAGCACAATGTGCCGTGTGTGTGTGTGTGTGTGTGTGTGTGTGCCTCGTGTGCATCACTCGTGAAAAATAAAGCCCTCATTCAGTCACGGACAATGACACACACACACACACACACACACACAGGGCTGGTGAACATACAGTACATGACATGTGTAGAGTCAGAGACAATAGAGAGTCAACGCAGCAAACAGTGATGCACTGGTCCTGTCCCTGGTCCTGTCCCTGGTCCTGTCCCTGGTCCTGGTCCTGTCCCTGGTCCTGTCCCTGTCACTGGTGTTGGAGAGTGAGCAGCCCACTGTGGCCCACCAGTCAAAATGATGCCCACACCTGCTCTAGACTGTTCACACTAGACTGTTCACTCTAGACTGTTCACTCTAGACTGTTCAGGAGTCACTGTTGAATTGGCTTTATTTTTATTTTGTACCGTACTGTATGGTGTGACAGCCAACTGACCGTGAGGACGGGGGGGGATTGGAGGGGGTGTGTCTCTGGGACATTAAGCCTGGATGCTGCAGTGTCTGATTGGCTGCAGTGATTCACACTCATTCACACCTGGGGTCAATTTGTGTTTCGACGTAGACGAGTGTTTGGACGGAGAACTGTGTCCTCTGGGTGTGTGTGTGTGGTGACCACGTGTCCAGCGTGGTCTCTGGTCACCTCCAGTCTGAAGGAAACCACGCAGACCTGAGCGGGACCATGTGACCGTGGTTCTGTGGACCGTCTGTCCTCCTGGTCGTCACTCTGAGGTGACTCTGGTCAATAAATAGACACAGGCTGAGACAATCAGGTTGGAGGAGGATGGATGAGGACACAGGAGGGTCAGGGATGGAGGGGGGGCTGAGGGGGGGGGGTGACTCTGGAGGAGAGACCTGTTGATAATCAGAGCCTCTCCATCAGAGGGCGCTAAGACTGCTTATATATAAGCACTGAGTGTGGACTAATCTGTTCCAGCTCCACAGGACGGAGCGACTATAAATACACCACTCACCAACACCAGGTCCGACCGTGTGTGCGTACATCACACGTATAAAGACATCGATGGTGTGTGTTTAATCCCTGGTCCATGTTGTTTCTGTGACAGCGACGATCTTAATCTGAGAGTCAGATTAAACGTTAACCTTTGACCTCTAACTGTATCTAGCTGACGCCTCTCACGACTTCCTCCTGGGAAAAGTGCTCGGATCGATCGAAGTGTAAAAAGACGTGGAGCTCAGGACGGAGACACAGTGACTGATATCACCGGTGAAATCCACGGAGGAAAGATTTTCCGATGTCCCCGCTGCCGACCTTAAAAACTGAAATACACCGGTGTTCGCCCTGAATGTGTCACCGTGACGCAACAGCAGCGACTGCAGCGAAAATGACAACATCCACGTTTACATTGAACTGCTCTACAAGAACAGGGTTGGAGTGGGGGGGTGGGGGGGGGGGGGG